TATTATCACAGTAGAGGTCTATTAGTCCCTTTATTGAGGGGACAACACCAAGTTTACCAACGAACTTATGAATCCAAATTGCCTCCTTAGCTGCTTCTGAAGCTGCCAAGTATTCGGCTTCAGTTGTAGAATCAGCAGTCGTGCTTTGCTTAGAACTCTTCCAACTAAAACGCTCCTACATTAAGACAGAACACGTATCTTGATTGTGATTTGAAGTCTTCTCTATCATTCTGGAAGCTTGCGTCGGTGTAACATTCAACAACCAAATCCTTACTTCCACCATAGACCAGAAATTTATCCTTGTTCCTTTTCAGGTACTTTAGGATATTCTTGGCCGCAGTCCAATGCGCCTCTCGTGGGTTTGATTAGTATCGACTCGTAGCACTCAAGACATACGATACATTCGGCCTAGTACATATCATGGCATACATGGTCAATCCAATAAGCGAAGCATATGGAATCTGACTCATCCTCTCTCGCTCATCAAGTGTCTGCGGACACTGTTTCTTGCTGAGAGTTATGCCATGTGACATGGGTAGGTGGCCTCTTTGGCTTCCTCCATATTGAATCGTGCCAGTACCTTATCAATATAAGTACTTTGGCTCAATCCAATCATCCTTTTAGATCTATCCCTATAGATCTTGATGTCCAATATGTACTGTGCCTCTCCCAAGTCCTTCATTGAAAAACACTTTCCAAGCAAAGCCTTTACCGACTCCAACATTGGAATGTTGTTTCCAATGAGCAATATGTCATCAACATATAAGACAAGGAATGCGATGTCACTCTCACTGACCTTCTTATAAACACAAGACTCATCTGGATTCTTGATAAAACCAAACTCACTAATGGCTTCATCGAATCACAGATTCCAACTTTTATTTGCCTACTTTAGTCCATAAATGGACTTCTTAATCTTGCATACCTTCCCAGCATTGTTTGGATCTACAAAACCTTCCGGATGTGTCATGTACACAGTTTCTTCCAAAATCCCATTAAGGAAGGCGATTTTGACGTCCATTTGCCATATCTCATAATCATAAGCTGCAGCAATTGCTAGCATAATCTAGATGGACTTAAGCATGGCAACTGGGAAAAAGGTTTCATCATAATCAACGTCGTGAATTTGCATGTAACCTTTTTCCATCAATCTAGCTTTGTATACATGTACATTTCCATCTTTGTTGGTTTTCAACTTGAAAATCCATTTGCGACTGATAGGTGTGTAACCTTCGGGCAAATCAACTATGTCCCAGACTTGTTATTTTGGAAAGATGCTCCTTTTCCAAAAAGACACCATCTCGAGTAACAAATACTTTTTTCTCAAATTGGTTGTACAAGTAATACTCGTTTGTTTCTTTTGGATATCCCACAAAGAAACATTTGTCTGATTTTGGTGCAAGTTTGTCAGATATGAGTCTTTTGACATATGCTTCGCGACCCCAACTCTTAAGAAAAGACAACCGTGGAGGTTTCTTCATCCTTAATTCATATGGAGTCTTTTCGACAGCTTTTGACGGAGTGCGGTTCAGTGTAAGTGTCGCAGTTAGAAGTACGTGTCCCCAGAAAGAGATAGAAAGATTACTAAGACCCGTCATTGATCGAACCATGTCTAACAGAGTTCGATTTCTCCTCTCGGACATTCCATTCCATTGTGGAGTTCCGAGAGGTGTCGATTCTGAGAGAATTCCATGTTCTTTCAAATGATCGTCGAATTCGTATCTCAAATACTCGCCACCTCGATCCGAGAAAAGTGCTTTGATTTTCTTGCTAAGCTGATTTTCCACTTCACTCTAAAATTCTTTGAATTTCTCAAAAGATTCAGATTTGTGCGACATAAGGTAGACATAGCCATATCTACTAAAGTCGTCCATGAATGTGATAAAATAGCGATAACCATTTCTTGCGGTTGTGCTCATTGGTCCACATACATCCGTAAGTATAAGACCCAATAAGTCACTAGCCCTTTCTCCCAACTTGGAGAATGGTTGCTTTATCATCTTGCCAAGTAAGCATCCTTCGTAGTTTTTAAACGACTCTAAGTCGAATGAATCAAGAATCCTCTCATGAAGGAGTTTCTTGATGCGTTTGATGTTAATGTGGCCAAGACGACAATGCCACAAGTAGGTTTGATTCGACTCAACGGTTTTAGCTCTTTTGGTGGTATCATTAACATTATAAACCTGTTTGTCTAATGAAAGCACATAAAGATCATTTTCTGAATGTGCCGTACCATATAAAACATTATCAAGATAAAATGAATAACATTTTTCTTTTATCCAAAATTCAAAACCCTTGGCGTCCAACGCTGAAATTGAAATAAAGTTTTTGGTAATGTTTGTAACATGATAACAATTTTCATGTTCTAAAACAAGCCCAGAGTTAAAAGACAAACTAAGTGTCCTAACGGATACGGTCGCAGTCCTTGCTCCATTGCCGACCCGGAGTTCCACTTTTCCCTTCACTAGCCTTCTACTTTTCCTTAGTCCCTAAGCATTGGAACAAAGGTGTGAGCCATATCCGGTATCTAATACACATGAAGCTTTGCTAGTAAAGTTAAGGTCTATAACATATATACCTGATCCATAAGCAACAGTGTCGTTCTTCTTATCCACCTTAAACTTGAGGCAATCTCATTTCCAACGTCCCTTCTTCTTATAGTAGAAACATTCGGAATCGGATTGAGAAGAGGCTACCTTCTTTTCCTTGTTGCCCTTGGTAGCTTTTGACTTAGGCGGAAAGGTCTTATAACCCTTCCCCTTGAAGCCTTTCTTCTTGCCCGAGCGCTTGAATGGCTTGGCCTTCTTGACCAAGCATATCATGCTTCCCTTTATCCTTGAGCGTTTGCTCGGCTTGCTTCAACATTCCATGAAGCTCGGTGAGGGTTTTCTCCATGATGTGCATATTATAGTTCATCTTGAACTGATTATAGCCTTTGTGCAGCGAGTGGAGAATAATGTCAATTTCCATCTCGGTTGAATACCCAGCATCAAGCCTTTCCACGTTCTCAAATAATCCGATCATTTTAAGCACATGTGGGCTGACCGACTCTCTTTTCTCGAGCTTGCTATCAAGGATCTACCTATGGCTCTCAAGCTGCTTAGTTTAGGCCTGCTCTTGGAACATGTTCTGAAGTTCAGAAATGATCTCAAAAGTCGTCTCCTTTCCAAAGAAGGTCTTTTGGAGATCCGGAGACATTGTGGCCAACATGATGCATTTGACATCCCGATTGGCAGCGTGCCATTGGTTTAGGGCAGCCTGAGTGACCTCCTCATTAGGAGCGTCGGGCTTTTCCTCATCAAGGACGTATTCCTTTTGCTCTTGCATGAGAACTAGATGCAAGTTCCTTTGCCAATCAAGGAAGTTTGTCCCATTCAACTTCTCTTTATATAGAATAGAACGGAGTGAAAACTGGTTGTGGTTGGTATTAGTTGCAGACATGTTTCTACAATTAAAAGAATTTGCAATCATTCATAAAACCAATAAGTTTGAAATTTAAAGCATACATGCAAATTTTCAATCTTATTAAGTGTCTTATCCACACATTTAAATTGTCCCTTTTAGGCGAGAATAAAAGGATTCCAAGACCTTAAATCAAAAAGTGATTAAGCATGCTTTGGCTTGTCTTAACACTTAATATTTTAAGATAAGCAATCCAATTGCTAATAGCTCTAAGCTACTTTTGGTTCGATAAAACGTCACATCTAATGCTTTCTTGACATTTATCTCCATTGCCACGACATCTAAGGACTCCTTACTGATATCGTTGAGTTTAACCAAAACTAACGTGTATATGATGCCTTGCTTTGGCAAGCACACCAACATACCTTACTTCCCTAGGAAAGTAGTAATGCCTTGCTTTAGCATAACCCATTACTATTCTTATTAGTTCCGTAAGTGTCATTTTGGAATGGAAAATTTAACTCAGTATTCTAGGGACTTAGGGTTTCTATGTTGGTTGATTTAAGTGAAGTAAACTAATCATTCAACATTCGAAATCCTAAACGTAAATATAATCATTGCAAATATATATATGAGCATAAGCGTAAATATATATATATATAAAGCATAAATAAAGATGCATTTGGCAACTAGAATAACCCTTGAAACTTGAATCTTCAAATCTTCAAGGGCCTTCATTGCATCTTCTTGGCTTCGTGTCCTTAGAAACGTCGTCTTCGAGACATCACTACCAATTATGCAACTAATAGAAAAGCTAGGACTAATCTAAATAATTTAAGTACAAAAATACTTAACGGCACACAGTCCGTATTTAGATTTATAAAAATAAAAAACAGAATGCAACCCATATTTACTATCCTAGTCGGGCCCTACTAGTTGCCATTTTGTAAAACCTGCATTAGAATGTCTATTCCATTCATCCATTCACTAATGTGAATGGCCCAAGCATTTTACAAATAATTCAAGCAACAATCCAAAACGAGCGCAAAACTAGTTACTAACTTAGGTGGTTAATCCAATAAACGCGCCTAATTAAAACTAGTCAAAGTTGTTATCCGATTATGTGAATTAACGCAATAATAATAGTTCAAAACAATTAATAAAGCTCCCCCTAAATTCCACATCACTACTACAAAAAAGGCCAAAGAGACCCGTTGTAAATGACATAAGAGACCTGTTTAGAGGAGGTCTCTAGCTCACAGGTCTCTTTGATAAAGAGACTTGTTCAATGGAACAAGTCTCTTTGTAATAAATAAGAGACCTGTTTAAGAAGTTAACAGGTCTCTTTGCATGTAATTACATCACATACTTAAGAAGGGGAAGAGACCTGTTATTTAACACAACATGTCTCTTTGATATCCATTAAGAGACCTATTACATTAGATAACAGGTCTCTTTATTATTTTGTAATTATTCTACTAAAAATGGAAAGAAATTGTAAAATCACAAAATCAAACAATTAAATAAATTTACATAAACTTATATTATTATTGAATCACTAGTAGTAACTTACTACAGTAGTGAGTAACATTTACAAGTAAATAAGAAGAATAATAATTTACAAGTATATAAGAACTTATAGAAATAGTTTACAAGTATACAAGAACTTATAGAAATAATTTACAAGTATATAAGAACTTTTGGAAATAATTTACAAGTTACCAAAACCAACAACAGTCCCATCATTTTATGCGGAAAGTGAATACAACACATCATGGGTAATTCTTTAGCCCTCCATTCATCAGCTTAGCGAGTTTCTTGAATTGCTCATCCTCCTGTACACCATTAAGAGGATCAATGAAAAAAAAAAACTACAAGGCTTTAATTCAGGTCAAAAACTAGATAGCAACAACATAAACACAACCTTAACAACTAATTTAGCAACAAATCATCTCTTCCTATTCCTGCATAAAAGCATTTCGATACACTGATTTCAAAATGAACAATACCACATTACATTTCTAGTTCAACTATACATTTCAAAAAATCCACAAAAACAGGAGAAAAAAATGCAATCAAAAGTTCACAAAATTAACTATACATTTCATTATTTCAATAAATTCACAAAAATAGAAGAAAAAACAAGTAATAAACCAATTAACCAACAAATTTCAATATTCAGAGATTTCAATAAGACAATAAACCAACACATTTCAAAATTTCAATACTTCAATACTTCAAATCTTCAATACCCATTATTATTGAATAAAAGTATAACTGTAAAACAGTTAAACAAGTAATAAACTAATAATTCAGAGATTAAATTCAGATTTACATACCGTGAATTGGGCCTAGCGATTTAGCGAAGTGAGCGAAGTCGAATGGAGAGCAGCGAGTGCAGCAACGAGCCGACGAACGGACGAAGCAGTGAATCACGAAGCAGCGACGGCAGCGACTCGACGGACGGAGGGACGGAGTGCCGGGAGTGGAGCCGACGAGCGAGAGTGGCGAACTCAGTTCAAAATTCAAAACTTCAATAATCATTAATCAATTCAATACCCACAAATGACAAATTCACAATAAAAGTATAAACTATAAAACAACTAAACAAGTAATGAAATTCAGATTTACATAATACATACCTCCATTGACTAACTGATTTGGGTGAATTGGCCAATTGAATTTGCGAAGTGCGAACAGCGAACTGGAGATTTGCGAAATGCGAACTTGTCAACTTGAGATTTGAGATTTGCGAAGCAGCCAGTGGAAGTAGCGTCTAGCCGAGCTTTCGCCTGAAACCCCACGCACGACGAACGGCAACGACGAATCACTGGCGACCTGGAGACCTTCCGCCTTCGAAGAGAGAGAAACTGAAAATTGAAAAGTTAGGGTTTGGTTTTTGTTTTTTTCTTTCTGTCTTAGGCTCTTGTTTTTTCTTTTGTTTTTTTATTTATTTATTTTTTTTTGAAAATGGGGGGACGCCACTGAAGGTAAGGGTCATGGTGGGCCCTTACACACATAAGAGACCCGTTGAGTTTAACAATAGGTCTCTTAATTCCCTCCCTACATATCCCGCAACAAAAGTGGTGGGCCCTTTGACATTTTAGAGACCTGTTATCACTAATATTAGGTCTCTTATGTCAAAGAGACCTGCTGTATTTACCAACAGGTGTCTTATTATAGGTTTCTTTGGCCTTTTTTGTAGTAGTGCATCCAACTTAATTAAAATTAATCCAATTAAAATTAATTAAGCCGGTTAACCCAAAATTTTGCCTAATTATTTTGCAAATGCCAGGAAAAACTGAGGCCTAAACTTGTTTTAATTATAAAAAAAAACGCAAAATCGCGAAATTCATAGCCCCTCAAACGCTCAAGTGCCTAGCATCCAAGCCACGAGGCTCGGCTTGCTAGGCACCAAGGCCCCGCAGCCATGCGTGGGTGCTGCTCGCACAAGCACAGCAGTGTCAAGCTTGCGTTACGCTGGTGCTAGCAGCGTGCTTGCACACATGCATGAGTTGGCCCAGCTAGCCGAGGGTTGTGATCGAATCTTAGTGCCTCATTTTACGTGCTTGTGCTTCGGAATTTTATTCCTATTTTGTGTGTGACATAAAAATTGATTCTAAATTATTTTTAGAACTAATATTAAGCAATATGAAAATAAAACAAGTCCAACTTAAATAAATTCAATGTTAGTGCACAAACCAAAATTAATTCAAGAACCATTCTTTAAATTATTTTTGGCTCAACTTGATGCTACAAAATTGAGGGCTATTCTCACAATTAGTTAATTGAGGGCTATTCTCACAATAAATTTAACTATCTGTTTTTCAATTGTAACTACAGTCAGATTTGTATGAAGAGTAATTGTGGCTGGATTGGATTGAATTACAGGGTTTGCAACATTGATAATGCTTGGAAGATGTGGATCAGAGGTTTGAAAGACCCTATTAAGAAGAAGGTGGCGCTTGCTGTACTTACTGCCTTATTATATCATATATGTCTTGCCAGGAATCACTCTTATTGGCAAAAAGCTGTTATTCATCCTGATAAGCTTTGCAAAGCGGTTCGTATGGAAGTTATGGAAAAAAGTCAGCAACTCATAAACAAGAAGTGGACTAGAGCTCAAGTTCAATGGCTCTACAATCTTAGGAATTCTGTGTAGTTCTTGTTTTGTTTTCTTGTTTTGGTTTTTCTGCTGCTTTGTTAGCTTTTTGGTTTTCTGTTTTGTTTTCGTTGCTGTTTTGGCTGTATGTTTGGTGGTTGTTTGGTCGTTGTAGTTTGGTGGTGAGGGCTTGCCCTCTTTCTTTTAGTAATAAAATCTTACTTACCAAAAAAAAAAATCAACATAAATTAATAATGAGATTTGACAAAATAGTTGAATAAATAATCATTCATCCAATGAAAAAATTTATCCAACACTCACTTGTACACATTTGAATATTGTAATCTACCAATATGAAGAACAATAATATTTCAAGCACAAGTATGAACATTTTTAGATTTTAATCAACTCAAAAATGATTAAAACCAAAACTTTTGTTCATTATGGACTTTAGAAAGTTAACATCCAACCATATAAACAATTAAAGATTGAATCTTTAACGTTTTTGGGGCTTCAAAAATACATTTTCACCATAAAGATTCACACTCCAAGCAATTAATTTGCAAAAATGTGAAAATGCAAGTTTTTGTGAAAATAAGAGCTAACCAAATTAAGCACCAATTATGACTTCATAAACATGCTTAATGAGGGTTAAAATTTCAGAAGATTAATGGCATAATCAAACACATAATTCAACAATTGCATGCCGTAATTAATCAAGGTTTAAAGATTTAAAGATTTAAAAAATTTCGTCAAAAACGAAAAACCACTTTCTGGGTGGATTTTGGCTTCTGGAAGGTCATTTTTAATACAACGTGGATAAAGTCTAATTTAGAATGTCGATTCGCCCAAAATTCAGTATTCTCGAGTCAAAATCAGAGTTCGTAATCCAAAATTAGAATATATACGATTTTAATCCAATTAAAAACGAGCTCCTAATCTAATTAGGATGCTAAACCAGAAATTTAAATCCATTTTAAATCACCTTAATTAATTTTTAGTTGTAAAAATTAAATGCAAGAGGCTCTGATTACCCTGTTGGGTTTTGCGGTGTCCGACACTATGCGGAAACAAAACCCGATAACCGGATCGCATGCATAATAATAACAACATAAATAAAAGCATGCAAATAAACATAAACATAAGAGAAGAGAGAGAAAGAATACACACCCTAGTAGCGTGCTTCGCTCAACCGTTGAGCTCGGACTTATGAAAGCTTCAAGTCCCACAAGTGCGAGAACCTTCGACGGCTCACACCCTCGCTACCGAACCGTAACCGGTCCCTACCCCGAAGCTTAATTGGTGCTAGACTAAAAACAACTTAGAGTTTGCGAACAAAGATTTTCTCGCTTTTGGAGATCTCTTAAAGTTCACCAACTTAAGTGAAATTCCAAGTACCCAATGATAGGTATTTATAAGGAAATCTCCCCTAGAATTCCCATCATCTTTCAATGTGGGATAGTTGGTAAAAAGCAAAAATAAGATTTAATTTAATTCCAAATTAAATTAAAAATCCATAACAGTCATCAAACGACAAGTGGCGCAAGGAGAGCAAGGGAGTGGGTGAGGACCACAAAGGGAAGGACCACCTTCCCTTGCTCCCCAAGCATTGCCGGCACCAACCATGTGGCGCCAGCTGGCGCCCAGCCTTCGGCACCAAGGCACGCCTTGCTGGCTGCCTATTGCTCGACTAGGCCTGCTAGCTAGCCCACAAACACGTATAGCCAGCCAGCAAACCTCGTACGCAATGCGGGCTGCTGTGTTGTACGTTGCTGCTGTTGCTGCTGCCAGCGAGGCCTAGCACGCCTTGCTGGATGCTGGCCTTGCTGGCGCATCTCCCCGCATGCATGCTCACCATGCCGGCAAGCCTTGCCTGCATGGATGCTCACCCAGCTCGCCCAGCCAGTGCATGCGATGCATGCTGGGCTTGCGGCCAAGCCTTGCCTTGCGGCAAGGAGCCCGGCTAGCATGCTAGCCTACTTAGCCTTCGATTTGCTAGGCCATATCAAGGCTAGGATTTTCATGCGCGTTGACTTGTTGTTAAACTAATTTTTTCCGTCTCGTCGACTCATGAATTCGACTCGGCTTCAACGGTCTAAGCTCAGAATCCGACGTTTTAGTTCGTAAAATCTCTATCGACATATTTAATCTTTCGGATTAATTCGTCGGTTCGGTTCGGTTACAAAATTGGGTGTGACCTGAAGGGTTCAGTCAAGATTAAGTTGTAATATTATTTATTCATTAATATTACTGATCGGAAGCGGCCTCCAGCTAGGCATTCCGATCACTTGACCTCACCGAATAATTAGCTTTCTAATCAATTTTGAACCCTCTATCGAAATAATACACTTGTTCGAAGAACACCATTCGTTTTAGTTCGTACGTCATGGCTTTCTTAGATTTGGACGGCTGGGAGTCAACCTCCCAAATCTCTTTTTTTCTGTTGTTTTCTTCTTTCTTTTTGTCGGTTAAGTCTTACTGAGAAGAATTAGTGTTGTTTTGAGGTTTTTAGGAACCCCTCGGGATACAGGTCGTGAATATTCTCAGACGACCGCAAACACCTAAAAAACAACGAATATTTCGGTGTCGGCATATTCGCCTTCGACGATCAAGTTAGTAACCAGAAAACGAAGGAATTTAGAGTGAGAAAGTAGAGAGAAGTTAGAGCAATTTAATATGCCTTGAATGATATGTCTCAATCCACCCCTCCCATCATTAATGATTGGGGTATTTATAGGGGTGGAAAAGTGTCCCTTCTAGGTGTCGCTGCCCTAAAATAGGGAGCACTGAATGGCGGTGCAATCAAGTGAGGACACGTATCCTTGGGGGCGTCGTTTTTGCACTTTTCTTGAGAATTGGGCCTCCTGATGTAAGGAGGCCTTCTCTCATATCAGGTGCTTCTATGCAGTCTCGTGTCTTCTTCCTATTGGGACACGTGTCGCCCTTTTATAAGACCACGTGTCACCATGGGATTGGGCCACATGGTGGGGGTATTTTTACCCTAAACAAGTGTTATATAGGGTTATAATTGTAGACCTCTACTTTTGGTCCCCTGTCCCAATCGGAAGTGCTATGAGGATAAATAATTCTATATTTGTGTTGAATTGTAGTAAGGAATGCCAATGGACTACTAATTGAGGCATAAACACATGAAACAAACTAGCTTGACCCAAACAAAATGAAACAAAACTCGATAAGACTAAGCTTGATCAGAAGTTAGGCCTAATCCATGAATTAAACCTAATTCAGACGGATTTAGGGCGCCTAAATTAAATTCTAGAGCTGCTGCAGGAAAATTCGCTCGAACTCAAGAAGTCGCGCTCGACAGTCGCGTGCAACTTAGATAGTTGTGCGTAGCAGCCCAACGCAATTTCAGAATTGCACTCGCGAAGATTCAGAATTTCTTTAAGATACTGAATCGAATCTTACCATACAACCACGCGCAAGAACAGATGTCACACTACCCTGTGCAGCGCAACTCCTTCACATGCGCACGGAAGACACGCGCAACTTTCAGAGTTGCCCACGCCCCCTGCTGTAGCAGCATGTTCGAAACCCTAATCTTAACCATTCCCTTTAAATAGAGGTTCAAAACGAGTTTTGGACACACTAAAAAATAGCTAGAAAGACAGCAGTAATAATTCATAAGTTTATGCAATAATTAAACCCTCTTGTCCTAAACACTACTCACCCCCTTTTGTTACTTGGTCCTTAGGGTGAAGGTTACTGTTGTTTGATCACTTTAAAACGGTTGTCTAATTAATTTATTCACCTAGCATTCTTTTGTTAATCAAAGACTAGAATTGAACAAATTATTTGATTGTTTTATTACCTAAGCCATGGCGAATCCTGTTTATTTATTGTTCTTTTCACGAATTTGGGAATAAATAAGAATAACGACATTCGTTGCAATATAAACTCCTTGTGATTAAACGTTTGTAAATAAAATCAACTAACTTAGTTTTGGGTATCACATTGCATATATTGTTTGTCGATGAAATTGTGAAAAAAGGAAGAGCTAGTAGAGGCCGCACTAGGGCTAGGATAGCAATTCCCCTAAAAAAGGAACGTTATTAGTACCCTCACTCCCGAACTCATTTATGGTACTAGTAGACCAATTTGGGCATGGGTAAACTTATGATTCATGCTAAATATCCCTTGAACTTTACTTGGGAGAAAGGCGTGAACGAGGTTTATGAGTTTTCCTAAAACTCATTTACGACTCTCTATTGGTTTCTAATAACTCAT